CCTCATGAACACAGGCCCTGGTTTTCATGGGGGACTTCAACCACCCTGACATCTGCTGGAGGAACAACACAGCAAGGCATAAACAATCTAAGAGGTTCCTGGAGAGCATTGATGATAACTTTTTGACACAGGTGATGGAGAAGCCAACGAGGAGAGGTGCGCTGCTAGACCTTGTACTAACAAACAAGGAAGGTCTAGCTGGCGATGTGAAAGTTGGGGGCAGCCTTGGCTGCGGTGACCATGAGATGGTGGAGTTTGGGCTCCTACGAGGAGGAAGCAGGGCAATAAGTAGGATGGCAACGCTGGACTTGAGGAGAGCTAACTGTGGCCTCTTCAGGGACCTTATTGGAAGAATCCTTGTGACTGACCAATAAACCCCTACAATGGAAGAAAGCTCAGAGGAGATGGGCAAGGGCCCATGAAGCTCAGGAATAATGTAGGGTGTGACTGATTAACTACAGCTGTTGCACAGAAAGCTGACTATTTCAACAAAAAGGGTACCAGAGGGTGACCTTTGTTTTAGATAAGCAGCTGAATCTGTTGAGTGGATCAGCTGGTGCAAATGTTTCTTGTAGAGTTTATCAAAAGTATGTGCATGCCTCCCTGAGTTAGCCAGAGCATCATGGGGCCACATGTATATGTGGCTCAGCCCAATCTACAGCTGTTGCACAGAAAGCTGACTATTTCAACAAAAAGGGTACCAGAGGGTGACCTTTGTTTTAGATAAGCAGCTGAATCTGTTGAGTGGATCAGCTGGTGCAAATGTTTCTTGTAGAGTTTATCAAAAGTATGTGCATGCCTCCCTGAGTTAGCCAGAGCATCATGGGGCCACATGTATATGTGGCTCAGCCCAATATGGAGTATAAAACCTGAATAACTACCAAAGGAATTTCAAAGAGAACAATGGGACTGAGGTGGCTTCAACCCATGTATTTCTTCCCAACAATTGGGGAAGCCCAGCGTCATGATGGTGAGCATGTTACAGAGACCAGTAATGGGGATCACATTCATATGGTGACTGAACTGTGTAGTGCAATTGCTATATTTTGCTAAGTGTGTACACTTGTATTGTGATTCAGTATATTGCTATATCACTTTGCCAAATCAAAATCCCGTGTAACAACAAATACTTTCAAAGTAAACTTTTATATTAAACATTGCGCTCTCCATGTGTGGGATATCTAAAAGAAGCTGGTCAGAGAGTAGTAGACTTTGACAATCCCATGGGATAGAGCCCTAGAAGGAAGAGCAAGGGATGTCAAGGACAACAAGAAGGGCTTCTTCAATTACATCAGTAGCAAAAGGAAGGCTAGGGAAAATGTGGGCCTGCTACTGAATGGGGTGGAGGCCCTGGTGGTGAAGGATACAGAGAAGGCAGAGATGTTGAATGCCTTCTTTGCTTCAGTCTTTACAGCTAAGGCCAGCCCTCAGGAATCCCAGGAGAGCAGGGAGAAAGTCTGGAGAAAGGAAGATGCTCCCTTGGTGGAGTTAGGAATCTCTCAAACTGGACATCCACAAGTCTATGGAGCCTGGTGGGCTGCACCCGTAAGTGCTGAGGGATTGGTGGATGTCGTTGCTAGGCCCCTCTCAGTCATCTTGGAAAGGTCCTGGAGATCAGGAGAGGTGCCTGAGGACTGGAAGAAAGCAGCTGGCACTCCAGTCTTGCAAAAGGGCAAGAAGGAAGACCCAGGGAAATACAAGCCTGTCAGTCTCACTGCAATCTCTGGAAAGCTGATGGAGCGGCTCGTCCTGGACACCATTTCCAAGTATAAGAAGGACAAGAAGGTGATCAGGAGTGGTCAGCATGGATTCACAAAGAGGAAATCATGCTTAACCAGCCTGAGAGCCTTCTCGGGTGGAATGATTGGCTGGGTAGCTGAGGGGAGAGCAGTGAAAGTTGTCTGCCTTGACTTCAGCAAGGCTTTTGGCGCTGTCTCCCAGTAGGAGAGGAGGCTGTAAAGAGGATGGGACCAGACTGTTCTCAGTGGTGCCCAGTGACAGGACAAGAGGCAACAGGCACAAATGGAAACACAGGAAGTTGCATCTGAACATTAAGAAAAACTCTTTTACTGAGAGGGTGACTGAGCACTGGAAAAGGTTGCCCACAGTGGTTATGCAGTCTCTGTCTTCGGAGCTATTCAAATGCTGTCCGGACAGGATCCTAGACAACATGCTTTTGGTGACCCTGCTTGAGGAGAGGAGTGATCTCCAGAGATCCCTTCCAACCTCAACCATTCTGTGATCTTGACTGTTTTTCCTTTCCCAGCTGCTCGGGAAGGGGGAATATGAAACTTGTATTTTCTCAATAGCACAGCCTGCACAGTGGAAGTGCTAGCAGAAAATCAGTGAGGTGGGATGGTGTGGAGGCTGGGAGCCCCCATCCACTCCTGCCAGGTGCCCTGCAGCTCCTGGGCTTGGCATGGCCCCTTTTGCATCACAGTGGGGCAGTTCTCGCCCTGGCAGGGCGAGAACCCTGCAGGCTCAGTCTCCGTGCACCGCTTGGGGCAGCACGAGGGCATGGGCAGGTTTCCAAGCACCCCCTTGGCACGAGCCATGGGGAGGCAAGGCTGGGTTCAAAGGAAGGTACCACAGCAATGTCTGGTAGGCGGCACCAGGTGCCCCAGGGTGGCAGGAGGGAAGGCAGGTGAGGGGCCAGGGCCAGGACAGGGTGCCTGTGGCCAGTTGGGCAGGGATCAGCCCTCCCTGGCCCCGCTGGACCCCAAGGGGTGGCAGCAGGTGGGGACCAAAGCAGTCCCTCAGCTGCTGTTGCCACAGCAGCTGCTGCATCTCGGATGCCCCTGGCTTGGCACAGAGAGCTCAGCTGTCCCTCTCCCTGCAGGGCATCCTTACCCATTTTCTCGCCTTCCTGGGGACTATGCTGTGGGACTCATGGCAGATGTGTGTGGGCCAGCTGAAGGCCAGGGTGGCTGTCTGGCGACATCCCAGAGGAAGGAGAGTGAAGGCCACACATGTTTCCCTGGGTAAGAGCCTAATGACCAGAAGCCCCCAGATGCCTGACACAGGATGTGGGGTCAGCCCCTGGCATGGTCCCTGGGGACATGGGCCTGCAGCACTGCTCCCATGAGGACAACCTTTGCTGGGGGATGCCAGCTGTGGCAAGTGGGGTCACAACAGCCCCATTGCATCTTGCAGGAGCCATGTGTGACCGCTGCAGGCAGCCCCCCAGCCTCGGGCTGAGCCCTGCTTCCCACTGGAGGAAGCTAGATGGCTCCTTGCTGCAACAGGTCATCTCCACCTTGGTAAGTCCCAGCCTCGTTTGGGCTGTGGGAGTCCCCTCAGCACCCCCATCACTGATGCTGGCTCACTGGGTTTCCCACAGGCATCAGCTCAAGTTCCTAGTGATAGACAACAGCAGATGCATCAGGCTTTGGGCATACTGCACCGACGGCCCCTGGACACGCACGTTCCCTGGGAGGTGGGAGAAAAGTCTGTTGTGTATCCTTCTTTCTCCCTCCTTGTCCCCATGTCACCTGCTGGTCTCAATTTCCCTTTGTGGCACACAGCACTGGCCACCAGGTGGCTTGGGGGGGTCGGGTAAGAAGAGAGTGGGGCTTGAGGCTCTCCAAGCAGGGCTTAAGCTGAAGGTGCCAGCCAAAGTGCAGCACCAGAGCAGGTTTCCTCCGTTGTGCCAAGGGAGGGCGAAGCAGCAGTGCCATGGTATGGGAGAGGATGGGGCTGCTGGAGGGTAAGAGCACAAAAAGTATTTGGGGAAAGAGGCTCGCTCTGCGAGGAGCTGTCGTGGGCAGAAAGGCCTCGCTCTACCCAGGCGCATGTGGGATGGGGGCTGTGCTGTGCTGCTGTGCTGCTGTGCTGTGGTTGGAGTGGGACTGGGAGTAGGAGCAGACTGGGATAGGGATCAGGACTGGCAGGGGGATGGTTAGGACAGCCCAGGGCACCAGTGGGTGGCACAGCCCCATTGGTGGGTGCCCAGGAGACTGGAAGACCCCAGAAGGCAGGAGCAGCCAGGTCCTCACGGAGCTGAGACAGCCTTTCCTGCCACCCCAGGCAGCAGAGGCCTGCTTGGAGGGAGCCCCATCCCCCTTTGCTGAGGGCCATGTTCTGCGTTTTGTTGCAGTCCCTCATGATGAGCAGCCAGACACTGAAGCCCCCCAGGACAGCAGCCCTGTGGGGATCCCTGGGGGACACCAAGCTGTCGCTCCCTGACATGCCACGACATCCTGTCTGTGTAAGAGGGGCAGGCATGGGCCAAGTGTCGCACCCATGTGTCACCGCTGTGCCGAGGAAGGACTTGGGGAGCGGTGGGACAGGCACTACTGGGGGCCCTACAGCCCCCTGGGAGGGGAGTTGGGGGAAATGTGAGTTGGAAGCTGCAGTGCCAGGTGCTGCAGACGTAGAGGGGTTCTGGTGGCTCAGGGCTCTCTGCTGGAGCTAAGGGTGGGCTAGATTGGAGTGATTTAGGGCTGGAGGGAAGGGTGTTCTAGAATGGGATGTTTTAGGACAGGTAAGGGGTAAGCTAGATCAGGTTGCTTAGGGCAAACCTTGACTCACGCTTGGACCTGCTGCTTTGGGAGTGTGTGCCCTGGGTCAGTGACTGTGGTCACTGCCAGGACTCCGCCCTGCCAGGAGGTGCTGGGGGCATCTGGAGCCCCAAGCCAGGCCCCTGCCCTCCCCTGCAGCTCCCCATGGACACCACACCAGCAAAGGCCCTGCCTTCAAGCACCTTGAGCTGCCAGACCCGTCACATCCTCCAGTGCCTGGAGCAGCTTTCGAGCTCACCAGAGGTGAAGTGTGTGCCCCTTCTCCATCAGACAGGCGGGCGACTCTGCATGGAGGGGACCAGACAAGGGTGCAGTAGCCAAGCCCTTGGGTGGGACAAGCAGCGAGGGAGCAGGCGCACCTTGTAGCGAGTCCTCATGGACTTGGGGATCTTGGGGTTATTCCCTTGGGGTTTCACTGCCTTGGAGTTATTCCCTCGGGGTGGGATTGGTGCCTGGCCCCTAGAAGCCCCACGCCCATCTCCAAACGGCCGAAGAAGGCTTCTTCTGACCCACCATAGTGACAATGTTATCCTTTCTCAGACTTTGAAGATGTGCAAGATGCTGCTGCCAGTCCACAAAGCAAGCCTGAACAGTGTAAGTGCCACTCGCAGCCCTTCTACAGCCTCAGCCCT